GCGCTGGAAGTTGAATGAGATCAGGAATGTTTGGGAGCATGTGAGCATGGCTGGTGTAAATCTGACGCCGGATGTCGCGGTAGAAATGCTAGGTGCGTGGGAAGACTGGACATGGGATTCAACGTGGAAACAGTGGTACCTGGACGTCACCGAAAACGACGCTGAGGAAAAGAGTCAGATTTTTGCAAGCCCATGGCGTGCACAAGGAGATGGTGAATGGGTTTATGTTGGCAGGATAGGCGGCGTGCACTAAGAAGAGTCGACGATCCGGCATCAACGCGACACTCTGAACGATACCGAAGTATCCTCAACGATGTACAGGCTGTCAAACACCCAGCCACTTCGGCAGTGTGCGTGAAAGGCGCATGTGAGACCTCAGAATCAGACATCATGTGCCAGACAAAGCGCGCATGTTCTACCCGCACAATGTGGTATCAGTACTATATCCTAGCGTTCACCCGCCTATTCACCATTCTCAGACGGCGTGAATACATGTTCCAAGAACAGGGACAAAGGACGATGAACGGTCGAACAAACACACGCGTAACTACACGGACCGAAACATACCCGACACTCCAACCCACAGCGCAAGAGGACTACTTCTCTTATCACCCCAAGACTAATCCTCGTGGTAGACAGGGCCTCCAACGTCCGCATATTCCAGTTCCACTGCATGTAAGCTACACGAACTGTTCGCCGCTCTCTGCGGGCCCGGCAGGATGGAGGTATACGCCAGTATCCGCGCGTACTCCTGGACTTGAGTCGTTTCGTCACGATCACGGGGTAAAACTCAAGACGCGTCTTTCATTTCGAGCTGTACTGCTGAATTGCCGTTGGGACTTGCTGTGGGACGAGGATGAGTTGCCGGCCAGGGTGATCGGTTGCTGTCAAATGTACCTCGACGAAAAGTACGAGTCTGTTAAAAGGAAACTGGCGAAATGCGGACGTGTTTTGTGTGGGTTCCTAGGTTGGCCTTGGCGGAAGCTATTCTCTCGGCGGTTGGCATTGGAGGAGGTAGATGAGCTTCTTCCGAGTTTCTATCGCGACGATCTTGAGTCTGGGCCTTCGCATGATACAGAAGATGTTCAGGCTTTCCTTGACCATGCAGTTTAGCATACACTGCAGGTGCACATGCAAGTGGACGCGCGCGCTGTATTGTCCTTTACCATTAGCAGGTGCATATAAGGTACATCTTACACAATTGCTCAATCAAATATAAAGAACGCTGTCAATCCCCCAAATGTTGTTTGATACTCAACGCGCAGTGGCTGGTTCTAACTTCGAAAGCTTGTTGCGAGAGGGACGGAAAGGGGACGCCCAGGGTGCTTTTCGCGGCTATGACGTAAGCTCTCACTAGCGCCTAACAGGACAGCCCCGATGCACGCGTCCCAGCCTCCTTCTATGACCCTCATCTCAGCATCAATATACCATCCTCCTGACCACGTATTTCATCGTCTTCGCGCACGAATCCTCTGCGATCAGGGCGCAATACCGGTAATGAAGATCTCCGACTTATCAGACAGTGGCTCTTTCTCAATATCCATCCCCACTTCCGGGCGTCCGCGAGACGCGTCTGGTCGACAGGAGCAGTTCGCAGAGAGTCAGCCATGTCACCATACCCATGATCATGTGTCAAGCATCAATAACTATCAGATGCCTTCGCGCGTGATCAGCAGGCGCCACTGATTTTGGGCAATATTGGATCGAGGCAACTACCGGCATGGTTAATCACCAGAGATTCGCCCTCGATATTGGAAGCCCTCTCACCAGCTGCACCCCACAATGCGCTTTCACGGAAATGTGTCATGCAGGGGCTGGCTCACATGCTGATAAACTGCGAGACGATAGAACCATATCCTTACACTCACATTGGTCTGGCTCTCAACTCATCATACGGCGCCATGTTGACTCTCCTTGCAATCGTACTGTTTGTACCGTCTATGAACGCGCTACTGCACCATCTCGCAGTCGGCACTACAAATGGGCAGGCCTTGTACTCGCTGGAGACGGACGATGAATCCAGGAAAGTGTATACGATTCAGGCCAGAGACGCGGGTGGAGCATCGCCGTCTCTGGCGCTCGACGTACGTGCATCAATCTTCAATAAGGGTCATTCCCGTTGACCTATTCGGTAGCGCTCGAAGCAGCACCTCTTCAGCAGTCGTCCGCAGGATGGAACCCTGACCCGCCACTCGATTGCGCCTACATACGAGCTCATCAGTGAAGGCACCATGGAGATACCCTCATCATGTTGGTTCTCATCATGGCATCTGCATGAAGCTTTCTGACCAATGTAGGCAACACTACGAACTTCCTGTCTCTAAAGCTAGGATCTTCCATGCACAACACTGCTATATGGGGCAGTGCTAGCACAGGAACTTGCAGTATCGTCTTTGGAGTGTCGCCAGACGGTTATGATACTATTAACTCCCAAGAGATCGCCGGAGACGTACACTCTATTGCATGGGCTCCCAACGGGCGTAACTTGCACGCATTGGACTCACACTCTTCCGGAAGTCTCTTGACGTCAATCACGAACTTCCGTATGTCCGAAGACCCGAATTTGCAGGACGTGGTGGGTATTGATGTCCTTGGTAATGTCACAAGCGCTTCACAAATTGTCGCCCATCCCACTGAAACCTTAATGTACATCGTCACTAAGGAGTCAAACGAACTGATTGTCGTTTCTTTGGCAGGTGACACTCTCCTGAGCATTTCTACTCCGGTCCTGCGATATAGATTGCTTCCTACTTCGTTGGATGCGTCACAGTTTCAGTCATCATCTTTGGCTATTTCTGCGTCTCGAAACACATTGTGGGCACTTTCGCAGTCTTCGCTTCAAGCAGTCATTACAGCCTTTACCCTCAATGTCACAACGGGCGAGGTGGTAGATGTCGCGGCCCGTGCGAGCTGGCAGGGAACTGGCGAAGGCCAGCTCACGGCAGCGCCTTTTGATGGTGGCGATGTAGTCGCTATCACAGACTCTCCGACGGCATATATCACTATACTCGGTCTGGATCAATCCACATTGCCAAGCGCCCGCATAGCCGAGGATTCTGGCCTTCACGACTATTTGTATGCCATGCAAGTTGATGAGAGGAAACGCAAAGACATACAAATGGCTGCACCGAAGATCAAGAGCTATGGTCGGGTTTTTGTTGACGATCACGTCAACTTAGGCGACTGTGCGTGGATCGATTGAAAATATTCAAGTTCCCTACGCATTCAGTGTAGGCAATGTCTTGTTCTCAGACAATGAGCCTTTGATAGCCCCGTCTCCACAAAGCCACTACTGGCCATCAGTTTTACACTCGCATCCTTTGTCTGTTACTCGAATTACATCAAGCTCTTCTGAAGTAGCGGCGGTGCGATGCAAGTTTTCAGTCTGAACGGTCGTTACATATCTATACAACCCGTATTCAAGCACTTAAAGACTATCTTATATGCCGTATGTTCACATAATAGCGTCATAACATCACTAATGCTTGCAGTCCTAAGCGCCGTCGCGAAGCCGAGACTGCGGCTACTCGCCGAGTACGCGCCAGAAGAGCAGCGGCTGCCGCAGCAGCTACCGTAGTGAACGCCACCAATCCGCTTCTCAGATTTCCGGGAGGTTAGTGAGACGTCTTCTGCAACGCGCACGAGTGCTAAAATCATGCAGAGATTAGGAACAGGATATATCAACTCGTCTTCGATCACTTTATAGCAACTCATCGACCATACATGATCACGCGTAGGGGAGTAGATCCTCACGGCCCTCCCACTGCTCGAATACGTAGATGTCGATATCCGTTGGTTATGAGCGCACCGAACGGCTTCAATGTCATTCCATGGGCAGACACTGATCCATTGCGGCGTGTCAACGCAGCCACTCAAGCTGCGATACACGATGGGTACTGTGCCATGAAGACAGATCTACTGGCCATTGGGCAAGTATCACGTCAGTTTATGCGTGGTAAGTCTGGCGCTCACTATGATTTACAAATACACACTGACTTGATATCGCAACACTTACAGAGTATCGCTCTTTCCAGCGCGCTCGCCTCCAACCTTTCGTCACTCTTGATGAGTTTTGGAATTTTGTTCAAATTTTCTACCCAAGCGAAGACCCAGCAGTCGCTAGGAACTATCATGGTCAACCCATCACGCTTGCACTACCACGCCATTCCCACCAGATGTATGACGTAATGCCACTTTTGCGATTCTTCAACCGCGCGCCGTATCTGGAATGCAACATATGGGTTGCTGGCAATGGGGACCAATACAAAACGATTGCACAGTCTCTGCGCCAGTACATCTTTCCACCGCGGGGAGGTGCCCTGACTATTTCGAAGTTCATGTTCCGTACGTACGGGAGACGAAGGGTTTATGAGGGCAATCTTGATAATTACCATGATATATGGTATTGTGCAGCTTTCAAGGCGATGTTTGATCCTATGTCACGACGAGACTGGATGGACGGAAACTTGGTAAGCTTCCCCGCTAACCCGCAACGAGCTCTCGCGCGCATGAACAAAGAAAGGGTAAGAAGGCAAGAAGTTCTGCAATTCCTCAAGGCCGCTGGATTGGACAGTATTAAGACAAGATGGGAAATGCGTTTCGCTGTATTGGGATAACGCCGACCATGAAGCTAGTGGCAACGCCCGTGGATATCTTCACTTGCGCACATTCACTCTCATCACAGCCACTCCGATCCAAGCCCTGTTGTCTCCATAGGATGACCGGAGAATCACGCAATGAATCTCATGCAGCTACAGGCGTGAGATTCCACATCCGGGCAAATAATTCACTACCTAGGGATATGCTCCAGCAAAACCCTTGCCCGCTTTCTCGAAAGGTGGTTACATTCATTATAATTCCTCTAGCTCTCTACTATAATTAGCGCGATCATCAGAGCTTCAGACCCCTCTCGTTTCCGCACGTCGAATATAGCCAATACCACCCGCGGTACTCAATTCCACTATCGACCTTCAGAGGAAAGCGCTCTGATTTGCTTCACTATGCCGTAAGTACAACGCACTCAAGACCACGTTAACCAAGAAAAACTAAACAGGTCTGCAGCCTACATTGACATAGAAGCATGCAAAGTAGGTAACTCAACGTTAATGTAGGCTCTAGACCTGTTTGGCTTTTTTCTTGTATAAGGTGAGACTACTGTAATAGTAATTGATAGTGTCCAGGGGCAAGCGTAAGGCGACCAAACCGCTCGTCAATCCCCACATCAAGCGATGTCGTGCAGCGAACCGCAAGAAGTCTCCCAAGACGGTCGATGTTTCCCAAGTAGGGGCGGGTTCGCAAGCGCCTAATGCGAGCAGTCAAGCTGAAGCAGCTAAAGCGAACAAGGGCAACAGACTGTTGTCTCTACCAGCAGGTAGGTCATATGGTTCAAAAGCATCACAGCCTACATGGATCTAATCAGTGCACAGAACTACGAAAAAATATCTACCGATGTGCTGTTGAAGAATGGAAGGCAGAGTGGGGATCGTACAAGCACGATGAGCTCGCTCCACTGTCCGGAGAAAATACGGATGACGCACCTGAAATGGCACCCCTCAACCTCTATCCGCCTCTTCCAAATGAAGCCGCACGCGCGCAGTTCCGCTGCATGAAGGAGGACTGGAATGCTCTTGGCCAAGTCTGCCACCTCCTACGCTCGGAATATCCTTCGCTGCGAAACACCCTCACTCATGCTTACGTTTCGGTCCAATTTCTCAGACGGTATCTTGAAACATTCCTCGACCGCTCAGATGGAAGCAGCACGATCGAACCCGTCCATCACCCCGCCAAGATTACGGTGTTTTTTGACAAGAAGCAAACACGTACGTTCGATGTTTTGCCACTCATGAGGCTAATACATCGTGCCCCGAAGCTTTCATGCGATGTCTGGACGCTTGACTCCGGGCGTCAAGGCCGATCGCCTCAGCCGCCCTCCTGTGCAGGCCGGAGTATCCATGATGCCGTCTTTGGAGCTCAAGATTCGCTCCGAGCGCATCCTGAGCCAGGATTTCTCTGGAGCCTAAATCGCATATCCTTTTCGCCCCGCGGCGTATTGGTCATTGGGGTCAATAAAAACCATGTCAAACACTGGATGAAGGACAATGATGAACAAAAATGGGTTGGTGCTGACTGGAAACGCAAGCGTGGGAAGGGGATAGACAAGAACGGTACGTGGGTGAAGGAAAGGCAGCGGCACACACGGGAGTACCTTGAAGCATCTGGGATGGATGTTGAGCTGTTGGAGAAGTGGAAAGTGACTGTGGGTGAAGGGGCAGGTTAAATGTGTAAAGTGTATTCAGCCGTTGAAGCTGCTATATGGAAGGATAATCTGCCTTCGAGTACAGCTCAGGATCAATATATTTGTCAATTGTGCATCACAACACAAGTTGCAATGGTTCGTGGGCATGTAAATGTGTTCGCGCAATCATGATATTATTGTTCTCTTATATTAACCAGATCCCTCAAGATCTCAATCCAGATGCCAAAACGCCTAGCTACCGAGCCAAATCCCAGTGGTATATGCGCATCCCAAAAAGTCACTTTTGTTGTCCCTTTTCCGTTTCCCAAGTATTACATCCCCATATCTTCCCCGTGTTTAGCAAGCGAGGCGTCTAGTGGATGCCGTAGGTCTGCTCGTAAGCGTTGCTAACGCTCTTGTGGTGCTCAACAACCTTGTTCTTGAGAGCCCTCCACGCCTTCTGGTAGTTCCTTGGGCCAAGCTCAGCAGCCATCTCCTGCTCTCCAGTAGCAGCGCCCTTGCGGGGTGCCTCGCCGCTCTGCCTGGGGCTGGAAGCGAGGGATGAGCTGCGGGATGCGGAGGGAGAATTGCCGGGGCTGTAGTAGACGGCGAATGCAGAGTTCATTTCGCGGTGGTGCTGCTTGATGGCCTTCCATGCCTTGGCGGCGTTGGTGGGGTTGCGCTGAGTGGAGGAAGGGCCCGCCATGGAGGAGTTGCGGGAGGTTTGTGTGGAGGCTGATGGGGTAGTTGCGGAGGAGCCGGTGTAGTAGGTGTTGTAGGCAGCGTTGACGCTCTCGTGGTGAGCCTTTGCGTGTGCCGCAACGGAGGAGAGGAAGTTGGTCATTTTGATGGTGGTTGTTTGTGTTGTGGTGATGATCGATGTGAGGTAAATGCTCGAGGGTCGATCGAAGAACTGATAGTAGTGGTTGCTTTGCTTGAAGGCTGTGGTATGCTTTGCTGTGTTGATGCCTCCATCCTCACGTACCCACCCATCCCTTTATACTCCCCCAGCCCATCCCCAGAAACTTCTCTATGACACCCGCCAAGCATCACCGGTCACGCCCTGGGACCAAACCTTTGCCAAAATTTTACTCAGCACACTCTGCGCACGCCCTGCACCTGTCGACGAAACGATCGTGAGATTTGAGGCCATGCGGCCGTCTGATTGGCTGCGGGCTGACAAACCCACTGAATTCTTGTCAACGAACACCTTCACAGGGCGTGAGAGGGTCCGTGCCATCATCATCATGACAATGAGGTGCCCACGCCCTACCCTGGTGCGTCTTTTCCGATGGCGCGCCGGAGCGTTTCCCGTCGGCGGCTAATTTTGGCAAGGCGCATGTGTGTGTAAAGGCGCGGTGACGAGTTTTCGGTCGTGTCCGTTAGCTGCTAGAAGACTGCCTTTGGAGGTATGGCGGGGAAAATCTCTGTTATTGGCTGCCACGCTTCGTCGCACCACGGCGTGTACCTGATCCACGCAGGCCCTTTCCCGCCCCCAAGTTGCCCGTCGGATGCCAAGTTTGCTTCGGTCCTTTTAGTCTAGACGCTGCTGTTGCACTGGGAGTGGATGTTTGTACGTAAAGACCGTGTTTTACCTTGAGCGCATGTCCGTTAACTGTTAGAGAAATGCCTTTGGAGGTTTGGCGACGAGAATTTTTTGTTCGGTGAGCGCTGGGGCGCGTGACGACGGTGTGGATAGGGGGTGTGGTGTGACAGCAAGTGAGTGATTTTTTTCGCAAGCTCACGATCGTGCTGCCAGATCTTTCTCGATGCCACGAAGGGGTCATCTGACGACTATCGTGACTCCGAGTTTCGCGGTGTGCCAACCCTACAGCGCCGCCCGCCAGCGTCTACCACTCAGCTCTTTCGTCATCAGCATGGAGCCATCGCAATCGCCAGCCTGAAGAATAGACACATTTGTTCACAAGAATGGCCAAGATCTATCCGCGCGCAATTGTGGTTTAGGTCAACATCCCAATTCAAACGCCGCTGGATGCATTGAGAGATCTATCGCGCGAAGATCTACAGGTTCAATCTATGCGAATACACCAACCCTTTCATAGTCGGACTGCAAGATACCCCGTACCCCACCATATCAGCAACAGGAAGCTTCCCAGCCAATTTTCTGGTATCGCACTACTAGTTCGTGTCGCTCCCGCGATGATCGGTTCTCCTGTGGGGTAGGCATAGCCGTTGCCAGTCGACTGCCCGTGGACATTCCCGCCATCTCCATCCGACCCTGTCCCGAGCGCATCTGGCCCCTTGGTCAATGTGACGACTGTCGTGACCGGTTGAAGACTCATTGTAGTGCCCTGGACGACTACAGCAGTTCCGCTATGCTCGAGGCTCAACGTTGTGCCGTCAACTGTAACGGGGACGCCTCCAGGCACCAAAGTCGTGCCAGGACTTATCACAATGTAGCCAGCGCGATTCGGCGTATACACATGATCTTTGAAGGTCAAGGCAGCCGCGACTGTGGACGTATACACGTCACCAAACATTGGAGTGATACTGGATGTTTCGCCGTTGATGATGAGTGCCGTCCCGGAAGGTGCAAGAATGAGTGTTGTCCCGGATATAGTCAGGGGCTCACCGCCAGGAGAAAGAGTTTGGTCTGCAATGACGTATTCTGTCTGCGCGTTGGGCGCAATGACTTCGGTACCGATGGTGAGTATTGGTGGAAGTAGGACCGGTGGTTGCGACATGGGCGCGTCTGTGATAGCAGGTTGAAAAGGTTGCAGTGAGATGACAGTAGTCCCCACGACAATCTTGGTCTTGCCTTCTGAGGTCTCTACCACAATAGGTGTGTCCCCAACGGTAACGATCTGACCAGGTGTAAGAGTAAAAGAACTTCCTATCACGAAGTCACCATGGCTTGGAGCTTGGCCAATAACAATGTCAGATATCCCAGCTGATATCGTTACCTGCGGAGGGTCTGCTGTTGCCGCTTGTGTCTGTTCTTCTTGTATAGTGGAGCCATGTTGCTCTCCGACTGGGTTATCCAGCCACCCTGTAGCAGGTATCTCAAACACTGGCGAGCATCCTCGACACGGCCGCGTAGAACTGAAGTTTGGCTCGCTGATTTCGTGATGCCCATCCGGATCTCCGATTTGTGTCGCGGCAGGCGGAATTGGTTTCAACCCTTCAACTGTTGACAGCATTGGCGGCGTCCCTGTGGCATTTCCTTGAGACGTGGTCAACACAGTCGTCACATCCGTCGGCGGTCCGTCGGTGGGAATGAGCAATGGGTTCGAAATCGGCAATGGTGCAGTCGGTATGGCTCCAGGCGGGGCTAGCGTTGAGGGTATGAAGTTTGGCTCCGAGAGCGAAGCACTGTGAATGAGTTCAGATCGCTGCGAAGGTATCGCGTTGGAGGGAGGTGTTGGGTCTACTGGAGGCGCAAGATATGTGGGTGCACCAATATTGGAGTCTATTAGACACGACATGTCAGATCAGCCATCGAACTTTGGGCTAGTCAGCGCCACTCACTTGGTTCCGCTGTCACAGAGTACTGGACTCCCGAGGCAGAATTTGACCCATAGTCGGCTAGCTCTGTATGAAAGTCAGCGCGAATGATTCTAGTGTCCTATGATGGCCAACACCTGATGCATACCCGCCTGTGCTAGCGCGGATGTAACGCCTAGCCAAGTCGCACATAGGCACAAGACATGACACAACCGAAGGTCGGCACCGGAGTACATGATGAAGATGGCTTCAAATACAGAGTATTCTCAAAGAGCCATGATGTGGAAGTGGTTACTGCGAAGAACAGAGGATACAGTCTTACGTTACACCCTGGTGACAACCCTTCTCAATACACCTAATGCAGGATCTCAGCAAGCAATCAAAGGTAATGAATCAAAATCTCCGCATCCTACATATACCGAGGAGATGGCCGGTGACTGAGATAAAGGCTAGGACTGTGGTACACAACATCTACTTAGATTGCTATTGATTAGACTTTCTTGGATTCTGGGGTTACGATTGTGCCGATTGGAAACGCCCGAATGCGGAGATGGCTTTACCCGGAGCGGGAACGCAACCTTATACGTCGGCTGGATGTTTACCAGAGACTGGTTCCTTCCAGGTACCTTAGCGAGCCGCAACCCCTGTACCATACCCGTGCTGCCTGCAAAACTGACGAGGTTATTGTGAACGGACGAATCGCGATCGCGCAGGTTTCTGATAGAAGTCTTTAACCAGGTCGAAGGAGTTCTAGGACAGGGTTGGAGGAGAAATGCCATGTGCCCGAGCAGCACAATAATGCGCATGATGTGTTGGTCATTTCCAGCGTTTTCGTCAGCTCATCGCAACTTTACGTGACATTGACTGAGCTTGATCGTCGAAGTTCTGTCACACAGCCGTAGTACAAGCCTGGGATCTCAATACAAACTTGGTATACATGCATTTTCGACGACGCAAGAAAAATCAGCTGTTGAACGCTCAAGCGTTATCGATGACTTCCCAGATGTAAAGGTGACTTGTCGACCCAACATGCAGGTTGCGGAGGACCCGTCCGAAGCGCTCGTCGCGGGTGGCGTATGTGACATTCAGCCGGGCCCATTCAGGCGATGAACCTTCGATGCAAGGTTGAACGCACGTGGTGAGGACATGTATGGTGTTTCTAGGTGCTCGCTAGAAACGTCCCTCGATATCGCAC